TCTCCCAGTCCCAGGACATGTGTTCACTGAAATAATGTGAGCTATTACTTTGGCTTTCAGTGATACCCTTATGAATTTTAGTTATGCTTGCATATGTATGAAATGATGTATACAAAGTGATTCATTATAGTATTACTTGTATTTGCAAAAGAGAGGAAACACCAGCATGTCCCTCAATAGGGAACTGGCTAGATAACTATAATACATTCACACAGTGGTATATTTTCAGTTGTAAAAAAGAATACAAAAGTACTAATATGGAACATTTTCCAGCATATATTATAAAATGAAAATAGCAAGGTTTACAACTCTAAATGGTATGTTACCTTTTGTGTAAGAAAAGGGGAGAAATAAGAGTACATATTTGTATTTGAATAAAGAAATATTTAAAATATACATATGAAATTAATGAGACTACCCTAACAGGGTGGACAAAGGGAGGGATAACAGCAAGACTCATGATACATTTTATATCTTCTTGTTTTTTAAACCGTGTTATATATTACAGGCTTTCCTCAACTATCCTCTGCCTGGGCATCCTTCAAGGACCAAATCATATAGCACTTCCTCTGTGATGCCCCAACTCTTTGCTCATAAAATTAGTATATCACTTCTCACAATTAGTTGGGTGCTTGTCTCTCCAGGAAGCTGAACTCCTTCAAAGGAAGAATGATTCATCTTCTTATCACCAGCTCCTATCACAATGTCGACACTGAAGCACCTCAATGTGTATTTAATTTTTAAAATATACCTCGAGTGCACTGAATCAAATTAATCATAATCTTTGGCTTATGCACACTGCCATTATTTATCCATGCATAGATTTTTTTAAATTTATTCTTTAATAATATAGTGAACATCCATGAACCCACACCAAACCTGAGAAATAGAAGACTCTAAATTGTTTTTCTACATGCTCCTTCTCTATCCTTTCTCTTTGCCTCCCTGAACCTGTGTTTATCATTCCTTTGTGTTTATATGTATCCATCCCATATGTGTGCTCTAACAATATGTTTAGTTTTAGCTGCTTTTAGGCCTTATAAAAAAGATATTACTTCAACAAATGGTGCTGAAACAACTGAACATCCACATGAGAAAAAATGAATCTAGACATAGACCTTACATCTTCCGCAAAAATTAACTCAAAATGGATCACAGACGACAATACACCTTTCACCATCCTGTCTGAGGGTTACATCAGTTTTCCTGTTCTCTGCCATAATTTGGCCAGAGGACTAGATGTTCTTAATCCAGAGCACCCTACTGAGCCACATTATGTTGACTGGATCCGATAAGAGGTAGAAAGCACTGCAGATGCTTTAGTAATGACACACTAGCCACGAGGTAGGATATAAACCCAAGAAAAATTCAGGGGTCTGTCGCCTCAGTGAAGTTTTGAGATCCGCCCCTTCCAAAGTGAAAAATAAGCAGCAATTTCAGGATGCAGTGCAAAAAGCTCTCAACAAACAGATGAGAGTCAAAGAGACTATAGCTAAGAAATATGTTGCATGAAGTCTCTGGCAAGCCTCAGTAAAGGAATCACAGTGCAGACCTCCAATGTTTTGAAGCAAAGCTATGGCCCTGACCCTGTTAGAGACTGAATGCCTGACCATGGGCCTGACCCACCCAACCATAAGGTTGAGCACAAAAAGCAGTATTCACCAATAAGTGGAAACATTTTATTTAAAACATCAGGTCTGGAAGATACAGTTGCATGAACAGATAGGTCAGAATCCTTTAACTCATACTGTACCTGATTCTCTTCCCACCTACAGCCTCATGTGGACATTCTTATAAACCAGTTAAGTGAGGAAGAGAAAAAAGATTTGGGCCTGGTTTCTAGATGTTTCTGCATGATATGCTAGCACAAGCTAGTAGACTGCTGCAATATTACAACCTCAATCAGGAGACAATAAAGGGAAATTCTCAAAGGAGTGGGGGAGTCGGGCGGGGGGGCAGTTGGCATGGGGGTGGAAGAACTTTTAACCAGATAGATAACGAGACAGCTAGATATAGTTTTCTTCACTTGGAGAGATGGACGAAGTAGAATCTATTCAAAGACAGTGGTTAAAAGCTTGGCTGGATGGTTAGACTTAGAACATAATTAGAAATACAACAAAGTTTAGGGGGAAAGTAATGTGAAAGGATTTCTAAGATTAGACATAAGAGTGAAGATATTTCTATCCCATGTGAATGTTCACCAAAGACATTTATTGTGAAAGATCTCAATAACAAGATGGATAGATAGTACACTCTGGAGATGTCAGTCTGTTTCTTTCCCTTGTAAATCTAGTGTGAGCTTAATGAACCCCACGTATAAAATGGCCATATGGCGAAAGTAAGCTTCATATGGGCTCCACAACATGGACTTCCCCTCACCACTGCTGATCTGGGTATCTGTTGGGTAAGACGGCTTAACCTGTCAACCACAGAGTTAAAGTTGAGTCCAAATATGGACCAGCCAATTATTTAGAGGTAGGTTTATTATATCAGACTAACTGTATCCATGGAGGTAGAGGCAATTTGTTCTCACTGGGAGAGATACATTCTCCAAGAATGGCCTTATGGAATACCTACTCAACATTGTGTCATTCCACACATTTTCTATTCATGAAACTAATTTCACAGTAAAAGAAGTTCAGCATTGGGCATATGTCCATGTCTTTCACAATCTCATCACATACCTCTTACAGAGAATAGAAAAAAAAGGAGAACACTTCCTTTTATGAAGCCAGGATAATAACCTGGATACCAAAACCTGACAAGACATTGTTAAAAAGAATTTTTTTAAGTCAATCTCACTCTGAAAAAGAAAAATATCTTAAACAAAATATTAGCAAACCAAATATCTTAAACAAAATATTAGCAAACCAAATCTAACATTCTAAAGACGATATATCACATTAAAGTTAGGTTTATTGAGATTACAAAGTTTAATATTTTAAAAATCAGTGTGATCCACCACATTTACAAAATAAAGGAAAAAATATTGATAAAAATAAACTCATTCATAATTTTTTTCAAAAGCTCTTAGAAAACTAAGAATAAAAGGAAACTTCCTTAATCTGATAAAGAGTATCCATTTTTTAAAAATTTTACAGGAAACATCATGATGATAAAATACTAAGCTTTCTCTATGAGATCAAGAATAAGACAATAACGTTCACTTATCAATTCTAATCATTATTTGCACTGTCTTAGCCAGTGCAAAAAAAGTAAAGTTTAAAGACTACAAAAAAAATAAAACTATGATTTCATACCATAAATTCAAAAGAATCTACAGATAAATTTTTAGTACATGATAGTCCAGCAAGTTACTAGATATACAAGTGTATTTATGTATACTAAACAGAAAATGAAATCATTTATTATATAATCGAATGCTATCAAATACCTAAGATAAATCTAACGAAAAATATGCAAGAAATACACACATACACACAACACACACCACTAAATAAATTATTTTAAATAAGTGGTGGGACATACTATGCTCGGGGATTGAAAAATTCAACTTTATAAAGATCAGTCCTCCCCAAATTAATTGATCCATAGATTCAATGTGAGCTCTGTCAAAAACCATATAAGTTTTCTGTGGAACTTGATCATTCTAAAATGTAGAAATGCAAAGGGTTAAATATACCCATGAACAGTGGAGAAGAAAACAAAGTGACAGGACCTGTCTACCGGATATCAAGACTTATTATATAGTTATAGTAATTAAGAGAATGATAATATGGGTGCAAGATTAGACAAAAAGGTCAATAAACAGAACACAGATTCCAGAAAGAAACCTATGCATATATGAGCACCGGATTTGTTGGCAAGGTGGCACTGAAAAGCAGTGAGGTAGAAACAGTCTTTACAACAAATGAGACTTGGTCAAATTGGATGTTTTTTATAAACTGAATTTAAATTTGCCCCCTACCTCACATCCTACAAAAAAAAATTACTACTGAATTGTAGATGCAAATATGCAAAGTAAAATAGAAGTCTCAAACAATAACATAAGAAAATAGCTTCATCATCTTGGAGTTGGGAAAGGTATCTTCAACAGCATTTATGAAAGCTTCACATATATATACCACTCCCAGGTAAATATTCAACAAAAATGTGTCCAAAATGTGTCCATATGTACAGCAAAAAATGTAGAATGTTTGGACCAGCACTATTTAAATAATCCTAAACTAGAAACTACCTAAATGGATGAAACATAATAAAATACAAACATAATGTTGAGCAAAAGAAGTTAGAGTATGTATGATTTGAAACTTCAAAAACAGGCAAAACCAACCTATTGACAATGTCAGCAATAGTGGTTAGCTTTAGGAGGATTATAACTAAGAATAGAAATGGAGGCTCTCTGGAGAGCTGGCAAAATTCTCCTTCTAGACCTGGATGGTGTTATACAAGTGCTCACTTTGTGAAAATTTACTTAACTATTTCTTTTGTGCACTTAGTTCTGAGTGTCATACTTCATTTTTAAAAGTTTGACATTTTTATATCTTTACCTTCATCTTAAGACAAAAACTTTAACATTCTTAAGGTCCCTTGATCTCCATCATGTTGGCATTGTCTAAAATTAATTCTGGTTTATGAATATACTTTTAAAAATCTTCCTCCTATATGTACTTTACCAAGGTATCTGACCACGCTTACCTCCTATAGTATTCTCCTGAACTTGTTTCTGTTATGTATTTGCTCCAAAAATGTTTATGATGTGGATCTTTTAGTAAACTCAATGTTTTCATTAAACCCTCACATTTGAATAACAATTTAAATGGATGTAAAATTTTAGGTCCAGGACTTCAAAAATATTTTCTTACAGCCAGTATTGCTTGTGAAAAGACTGAGGTCAATGTGATTCTTGGTCCTTTATCCAATGATTTACTGTCTAAAAGCTTTGATTTTTATCTTTGATAGTCTTACATTTCAGTATGTGTCTAGATGAGGGTACTTCTTTCTTGTTTGGCATTCTATGGCCCTTTCGATCTTTAAACTTTTTCTTCTTTTGGACTTCTTCTGTTACCTGAAGGTTGGCACATCTTGTGTCCTTCATCTCACTTAAATCTGCATTCATATTTTCTATTTATTATCCTTTTTTTTTTTGCTTCTTTCTAGGAGAGTTTCTCAATTTGATTTTCCAACTCATTCATTCATTCTTTGGCTGTATCCACTGGATTTTTACTCTATTTCGTTTTTTATTTAAAAAATTTTTTTTTATATATCTACTTGGTTTATTTTTTATTCTTATATCACATTACCAAAATCTTCCCTTTTTCCTTTCAAAGTTTGTTGGCTTTATTTTAGATTCTGATGGTCTTATGTAACCCAGTTTACTGTTTTCCTCTGAACCAGTGGCATCTCTTAGTTATCACTTTACTTGGGCTTATAAACTTATATACTTGGTAGTATGGGCTCTTCTGAGTGATGGTATGTACAGGGAAGAACTGAGGCCCAGCCCTCTAGCTATGTTGGGGGTTCAAAGAGAAGGAAGAAGATAAGCAATATGATGAATAGCCTCAGCACTATAAAAACAACAGTGAATTATTTCAGTTTGTTATCTACCTAGCAGTCCTGAAGAAAAGGACTTCCCCTTCATTTCACCCAACAAGAATGTCAATTTCCTAAGGTACTTTCTAGATTCTCAGGCTTAGATTACAACCCACTCGTCCTATGATTCTGGAGCAGGGAAAGTGAACAAATAATGTGCAAGCTAGTCAATCCTTACCTGGTTTTCCTCAAATCTTCACCCAAAAGGTTTTTGCTCTGCCCTGATTTTATCTGTGAGGACACCTGCAGCAGAAGTCTGGTTCACTGTACTAGCACCTGCTGTGAGAAAGCAGGCAAAGGCAACTGGTTTTCTCTAATCTACTCAGACATTCATCCAGTCACACTTTCACCAAGAACTACCTCAAAAAAGCCCCCCATGTCCCCTGAGAGTTTTATCTTTTTTTTTCTTTTAATTATTATCTAAAAACACTAAAAAAAATCTAATCAAAATATAATAGAACTTTACATGGCTTTATTTATACATTACTGGTATTGAAAGCAAACTTTGTACAAAAAGTTTTATACAGATAAAAAAAATCCTTGGCTAGGCAAAACCATTTACATGTGTGTATACTCACAAACACACACAAAATATTTTACATCATTTTAAGTATACATATTTACAGATACACTATTTAAATTACTTTACAATTTACCAAAATGAGAAGAGGTGATTAGAAGAGCAAATAAAAATGGATGAAAGCAAACTAAATAATGGCTAAGTTTAAAATGCTACAAAACTATTTTTAAAAATCTAGAAAAGAAAGTCATTTCTTTGAAATATCAAAACTAAGGTTTCGATACTATATCGTTGCTTTTATCTTAGTAACAAATTCTAATCTGTTTAAAAATAAGTATCTTGACCAATAACAGGTAAGCAAATCAGACTGATGACTGGAACAAGCTGAACATGCCGACTTAAGATTACAGAGTCAGCAAATAACAACCAATGGAGATCATTATCTAGGAATCAAATATGTCATAAAATTGCCCTCTACTTCCCCATTTAAAACATGAGGAATTCCAAGCTTCTGTGCAGTATGCAATATCAATTAAGACTCCAAGGAATTCAGCAACTTATCTGTAACGTAAGAAAATGCCAAAGTTATGATTCTATATTTCTGACTGTTTCATAAAGTGTTGCTCTTTTAAATGAGTTCTATTTAGATAATATTGATGTTAAAGAATTAGCTTTTTACAAAATCAGTTTGGTAACTTTATCATTATATTCTAATTCTGAAAAGAATTTAATGAGACTATACTACTTGGGAGAAAAAATCAGTTAAGAGACAATCCAGGAATGAAATAACCTATTAATCGTGCTACCATGAAAGCGAATCTCAAGTATCAAATCCAATAAAAGATTTTAGAATTATAATGAAATCTGGAAATTCCAAACTAATAAGCATCACTTCCAGATACAAGTTAATTCTTCCATGAATGTAAATTATCTTCACAAGAGAATGGAAGTCATATTTTAAGATAACATTCAGGTAAAACAAAAAACTCAGTTTAATTTCTTAAAGGCAGTGAAAATTTTAAAGCCCAGTAAATCTGAAAAATAAGGTCATTTCTGTCTTTAAAATTATTTTTTTAAAGTTCTTTAGGATAAGCTTTTCCTTCAAATTCCCCATTATAATTTTATCTTCACAGTAAACTATTAAATATCTTCTGAAGATCTCATTAGCAAACTCATTACTTTGAGAGGATACTGATTTTAAGTTTCTAAAGATAGTAATTTACTATCTTTGGATCTAGAAACAGATTTATAACTCAAATATATTGAGAATCCTTCACACTGAGGTCTACGGCCATATTTAATTTAATTAGAACTTAATTTAAAAATGAATGTTTATATTTAAATAAGTATAGCTACAAATCAACTGAAAAATAATGATTATCTTAAATATCTTTATAATTTTTCTTATGTAAAGTCCAAAATATTTAAGCAACTGGTTCAGGTCTTACAGAAAAATCCTGCTGATAAACACTGCCTTAATAAATCTGCACAAAAATGGCTTAAAGAAACTCAGGAAACATGTCTGTGACCATTATTAATAAATTAACATGGTAAATTGTCATCTATTCAGATGACAATGGATTTCATGTTTTTGAATGTATGTTTTCTATTTTAAAGTATTTTTGCATTCCTAATTAAAAATGAGAAAAGAATTTAAATTTAATGTGAAAATATAAAATTACAATGACTGCACGGACTTCACTGCCTGTGAAACATACTGCTATTCAAGAACGTTTTCTTTTTCATATATAAAACAATTCTGTATAAATCATCAAGTGGATTTCCCCCCACCTTAGACTCATCAGCAATCAGAAGGCTGAGGAGAAATGCCATGCTGATCTGAACTGTAGCAGGCAGGCTTCACTCTGAGCACGTCCTGTAGATGAGGTGACCTGAGAAGCCTGCACGAGCAATCATTCTCCAACCTGTGACTGAAGCAGGAACTCAACTGGATGTTTCTCACCCACTACTCACATCTTCAATGACTAACAGGCCATTAACTGCACAGTTACAGTGTCAACATTTACTAGTCTCCTGTAGTGTAACCATTAACTACCTGCATTTTGACTTTTCAAAGAGCTTCAATAGCTGCTGGAATCTTTCTGAGACCTGAAAAAGTAAAAATGAGTGTTAATTATAAATATTTCAATAGCTTTTTTTTTTTACTCTTTGATATTTTCACAAAACATCTAGAGAAAGTTACTGTCAATAAAGATGTATGAAAAAATGAAACAGCTTCATACTAAAAGTGATTGCTAGTTTAAATCTTAAATATTACACTTTCTTAAACAAGCAAACATCACGCAATCGCTTGAAATCAAATAAGTAAATAGTAAGACAACAGGAGAAAAATTAAGATTGTCCTTCCACAATCAGCAAGTTTTTAGCAGTCCTACATGAAAAGCCATACTTTTAAAGAAGGTGGCTAATAAAAATCTACTTATTTTAAACATATTAAAAATGAAATCTAAGTATTTATAGTAGTAACATCTGAGAAACTATAGAGATATTAAAATTGGATAGTTACCTGAGATGGATTTTTATTCAACTTGGCAGCTAAATAAGAAAATGTTTTCATTGATGGCCCTCTTTTCTGACACTCCAATAAAATTTCTCGGTCATCATTTCTAAAGGGGAAAAAAGTTATTTAGCTTTTGTAGATTAGAGTAGAAAGTTAACAAAAATTCCACTGCCTTGTTCTCCACCAGTAGGAGGTGATATTTTTATTAAAATCCTTAGAAGAAAAAGTCTGTATACCAAAAACATGGACAATGGTTATGCATGAAGAATAACATTATCTTTGAGCTCATATTTCCAAGATTTTCTAAAATATACTAATTTATTATTCTCATGACAAAATTAAAGATTTTTTAAAATTCTACCATTAATGTGCCTAATACTTTAAAAATTAGGGCCCAAACATGATCAGAATAAGCAAAAAAAAAAAAGTAAAACAGAATCCAAATCTTTTTAATTCCCAGGCCTTTGCTTTTTCTACATGGTCAGAACCAATGTGTGTTATGACAAACTCTGAGATTTTATTATGCCATCTGTTAAGTTACCTGAAATGAAGGCATAGAGGACTGTGGTATTAAACAAAACTGATCACCAATTTCCACAAAATTCAGCTTCCCTCATTAAACCTCAGGTAAGTCTGCAGATAATGAACCTCTAGTCTAATGGCTCATAACTATGGTTACTTTTACGTCTGAAACAGGATCTTTAAATCTGATTTCTTAAAAAGTTCACATAAAAGTCAAAAGTACAACTTGTTTATTAAATTTTTTTAAAACTTAATTTAGGGGAAAACTCAAATCATAAAAACATTTTTTGCCCTATTTCACCACCTGTCATTCTGATTTTCTAAAATGTGCTTACACCAGTTCTTTACAAATGAAAGAATTCTTTTTAATTAAAAAAGTGAAGTTAAAATACAATGAAAAGTTTTATCCACAGTGCTAATGCATATCCCTGCTTAAGAGCCACTGCTCTAGATTGTTCTACAATACAGCTAGACTGCACCCTAGAATGTAACTTCTACCAACTTTGGCTACTTTCCTTATTTTAGGGTGGGATAAAACTATGACATGACAGAAGAGATTACTAGCCTCTCAACATTTCCTCGTGCTTTAAATGTCTCACAAGATCCTTACCTTGTCCATGAAACTATAATTTCTCCCTTCTTTTTAATAACATTCTTTGCAGAAAGGCTTATAGGAGAAGTGCCAGATGCTGCTGATGGGTCCTTAATCCTCGGACTTGCCTTTAATGATGAGGGATCTTTAGTCACTGAAGGGACCTTTTTCTTACTGGCTTTCTTTCGGTAAGCTTCACCATTCTCACCAGAATTTGGGGTGATTTTCTTGGTCTTTTCCTTACTGTTTAAGTCTGTTTCCTTTCTCTGTTTTTTCTGAGAATGATTTAGATCAGAAAGGTTTTTTCTCTTTTTGTGAGCACTATCCAAAGCCTCAGGCAACTCTAAACTGTCAGAATTTGATGCCAGCTCCGATTTTAAATCTTCCTTTTTTATTTCACATGAACTTGGAGATTCTGAGGTCAAATCAATACAAGCTTCCTCCACAATGCATTCCAAAGGCTTGTTTGACACTTGCACCTGTTCTTCCTTACAGTTATCTTCAGCTACATATAACACTGGACACCCCAAGTGTTCAACAGCTAAAGCAGGACAGTTATCTTCATTTTTACTCTCACTTGAAAGGTCTTGTGTCAAATCAATAAAAGCATCTACAGTATCAGGCTGCACACTGTCTAATATTTGAGCATTTTGTTCCAAATTGCTTCTAGAACATCCCAACTGATCAATATTTAAAACTGCTACTTCTATGAATTCCAAGTTTTTGGTTTCAGTGACTGGATCTTTTGTGAGATCTACATATGCGTTTGGAAGATGACTTTCTACAGAATGTGGAATTTCTTCCATTGGAGGCAATCCTTCAATGCTTTCAGGCACTTTTGGTTCCCATACTTGATGCAATTTGAAGCACTGATCAGCCACTTCATTACTATGACCCACTTTACCTGACGCATCTTTAAGAAATTCATATATATCAGGAACCTGTGTTTGCATCATACAGTCCTGTTCTTCATGAGGTGATTTACTGCTGTCAACATTTTCATTGGAATGTTTCAATTCCTCCACAGATTTAAGAACCGTGTTCTGACATAAAACATATTTCTTCTCTTCTGCTTCATCAGCTTCCTTTGCCACTATGGGCAAAGATGTCAATGACTCACCAGCCTCCATGTTCTGTATGAGACTAGTGGTGGTAGATGGTGCTGCATGCCGTATTTTCACAATGAAATGATCATTGGACTTTTCCATTATGACAGCATGCATGGGTAGATTAGGGTGGTACTGAAATCCTGGAGTAACAGACCGGCTTGTCCATGATGAACAACTGGATTTACTGCTTGAATTATCAGACTCCAGAGCTAAATGAATGTCTTGTTCAGATGCATCCTCTTCCTCAAGTAAGGCATCTTCACTAAAATGGGCACTAATAACTTCTTCAGGAGTTGCACTAGACAAAACTTCAGGCTTTAAGAAACTTAGATGACCATCTGACTTCAGAGGTGATGGTACTGTTAAAGACACTGCTAGGTCCTCAAGAAGTATGGAAGAAATACAGGGCTTGCTCTTTTCTGAATTACATACATTATCTTTATTTAAAGCTATGTTAGTAGACACTTCAAACATACAACTTTCATCCAACACATCAGGATGAACTGGCAATGAAAGCCCTGAAGACAAAGATGGACCTTTCTCAGATGATAATAATGACCAATTATCATCACTAATCATCTTGGGACACGGAGAAACTACCCCTGAAACTAGCTCTTCCGTTGTGCAAGCTGGTATAGATTCACACTTAAGACTCTCTAGCAGCTGTTTCTCTGGAGTCTTTAACTCCCATTCACTTTTTTCATGACAGTTAACACTGTTGTCCAAAAGATCAGAACCTTGCAACAAACTTTTAAATATTTCACCCATCTGTGCATCACTCACTAAATTAAAAGTAAGGCTAGATGCTTGCTGTTCAGTAAGAATCTCGAAACAGCGTTCTGGCTTCATAGCTGCATTCTGGGATGTCTGGGCATCCTCGCTGGCGCTACCTTCCATTTTTCCTGGCTTTGGGGTGCTTGGACAGTTTAGTTCCAAGGAGTGCTCTTCAGATTGAGAGTTCTTAATATTACCAAGGCAAGTGTTAGAATTTTTAATGTCATGCTTTACTGTGTTAATACTGGAGTTATTTTGGTCTTGACGTTTTTCCTCAGATTTTTTACATCCCAGTGAGGACTTATCGTAAATAGAATCTTCTGATTTGAGGGATTTCTCTTTCAGCATTTCTTTGCTGGAATTGTTCACATTCCCCTTGTGACAATTTGAAGGTTTTTTCCCTTTATTTATCTTTTCAAGTTTTCCTTCATCACTGTCACTGCCAAAGTTTGTGAACTCACAAAACTTTATTAAGGTTTTCTTAAGCTTTGCAAACAAATAATCAAGTTGTTCCTCTACAAATTTCCATGTTTTTTTTTTCATATCTGGTAGTTGCTGTTCAAATAAACGATCCACTATTCCATTCTTTTTAACTTGCTTAAGTTTGGATTCTATGACATCACAGAGATTCTTCTGTAAAGTAGTCACTGACTTAGAGATTTTAGATAAATCAAGGTGTTTAATTAGTGATGTAAAACTCAAAATTGCTGACTCAATAATTCTATGAAATTGTTTTAAAGGAAATTTTACCTTGAATTTCATATAATTTTTCCTTACATGCTTTCTTATCATTCGTAACATGTGCATAACCTCTCGTACGGAAGATGGTACAGCAATAATTGGAACTATTTTTTCCAGACTTGAGGTGCTCATTGTCTTATCTTTCTTTTCTGTTTCTGAAGATCTGCTAGATTCACTTTGTTTTTTATTCCATTTCCTTTTGGTCTGCTGCATTTTTATAGAAGATGTCTTCCTACTGTCTTTATCTAAATGCACAGTACTTTTCCTACTTCCTGGGCTAGGCTTTGTGATCTGCACTTCAGCAGAAGTTCTTGGTTTGGCACTTTTTTCAAAACTTTTTTGTGATTTAGAGTTTTCACTGTCACTTATAATTTCTCCTTCTTCCAATTCATCTAAAGATGAATTCTTATGGGAATCTGATTCCGTAAATTTGTCAGTTTTGCAAATTGGCTTTTGATTTTCCTTGTTAAGATCAGACTGAATCTTGGAGGTAAAATGAGCTGAATTTGGTAGAAACACATCTGTGGAAGAGAAAAATATATTAGCACGTGATCAATGAGTCAGTCATTTGACATTTCTAATGTCATTTCTAATGACTAAATATAACAAGAAATGAAATATTGAGGCATTCCATTACTTTTATACTTTTTAAAAAGCAGAATGTTAATATCTAATACTATTCATGTCATTGGTCTTTACTGTTCTCAGGAGGTGTCTGACAACAGTGATAATGTAGAGTTTGGTCTTCTGGATAACATCAACCGTTTAGGTATCTTTACTTCAGGTTAGCAGCATCACCTACTCTATGCCATCTGATGATGGCTTTTGAACAACAAAAATATATCTGAAAGCAAGTATTTTGAAATAACCTGTAGTACCACTCCCTTTTTTGTTAAATAAGAATTACCTAAATTTAGACTAAAGGCTCAATGTACACTTCTAGTTAACCGTGGGAGTCTGAATGTTATCAAAATCATCTTGCTTATATATTTTATAGTCTCACAAAAAAGAAAATTACAAAAGATAATATAAACTATTACCTTTATGACTGTTATATAATGAAACTTGAGATGGGCTTTCTAGTCTAAGAACTTTTGCTACAGGTCTCACAGGACTATTCAGAGGACTGATGATTTCTGGAATAGGTCTCAGGTGATTAAGGTCGATGCTTAGAACCGAGTTCTCATCATGATATACTGAATTTGTTTCACCAATTTCCATTCTGTGGTCCATTAACTCAGTCGGCTGAAGTGAAGATTCTAGAGTGTCTTTAGATAAGCAAGGCTCCAAACGACAAGACTTACTCTCAACCAGTGGTGTATCTACAAGGGAAGGCTCAAATTTTGGATTACCATCTTCTGGCAAAATGCCAGCTTCTTCAACTGAAGGCTGCAAAATGCTTTCATTGGATTTGACCACTTCTGTTGAAAAAGATTCCTTTGTTTCCCTATCTTCAGAAATACAAGAATTTAAACCATCACTTCTTTTGGTATCCAATTCCAAGCCAAAGTTCTGAGAAACATTTGTTTGTATTATGTCCATTACCACAGGAACTGCTGTCCTTGCACCATTAATGTTTTGCTCCATTTCTGTTGATGGAAACAAAGATTCTGTTTTTTCCATTTCTATGGGTGCTGAGGAAGTCTCTGTACCACAAATGGGCATGTCATAATGAACAGTATTATCAATAGATTTAACTAATAAACTATTTTCTTCTTCCAGTTTCCTTTCTGGAATACTGGTCTTGGCAGGTTCAGGTGCTGCTGTGGCAAGAGAATCCTTTGGTTCTAATAACTTTGATTTGGTATCCTCTGTGATGTGTTTACTCACAGAAGGAACACATGTCACTGTTTTATCCTGCACCAAGCACTCCAAGTCACATATGCCACTGGATTTGGGAGCACTGGTTATTTTATGCTGATTATCCTGAGAAACAGGCTGCTTTTTAGCAGGAGAAAGAGTTAAGTTCAATTTTTCCATAAAACTCAACTTTAAGTCTTTGTTTTTTGTTTCATTTGGACCATTTTCAGCTTTAATTGCAAGGTCTTTATTATCTGCACCTTCAGAAACATCATTACTGGAGACTTCGCCTTTATCATTTTTTGACTCATTCTGTCTCTTTAAATTAGTGGTGATTTGCTTAGTTTCTCTGTTAGTCTTCTGCAAATGTTCTGTAGGTGTTCTTTTTTCATGTCTCATATACCTGTTTTCTTCTTTGCTTTCTCGTTCTCTTTTCCTCTTATCTTCAGTTCTATGCCTTTCTGCTTCTAAAGGTGTATTTTCCCGTTGATGCAAAGCATCAACTTCTTTGGAGTCAATGTATTTTTGAGTTCTGCTGGTTGAAAGAGAGGATGAACATCCTCCTTGAAAACTATGATTACTTATACCCCTGTCTCTTTTACAGTCTTCTCTTCCTCTTCTCTCTTCTGGATGGTGTTTACTTGAAGTATGAGATTTTGTTATTTCATTCTTAGAATGAGGAAGAGATGCTCGTTCACATCTTCTCCAATGATCTTGGTCTTTTACTACTGATTTAGGTTTCTGATCAACTTTTCTTTCTTCTTTTTCTTGTGATTTTAGTTCTTTTCTATTTATACTTTGTGATCTCTCATTTTGCCTTTCTAGTTTTTTGTCACTTTGAAATTCTACTCGAGTGTGTGACCTCTCTCTAAAAGTCTCTTTCTCCCAAAAAGAGCGAATGCGTTCATTTTTATAATCCAAATCTGTGTTACTTTTAAACTTTGAATTTTTGCTTTCAGTCTTTGGTTCACCTTTACCGTATTTCTCAGGACGTCCTTGTGGCCTTTGACTAGCCTCTATGTTCCTCAGTTCACCATCACCACAGCTACTGTTTAAGTCTTTTCGTATTCTATCAGTTCCTCTATTATATTGACTATATCCAGAGTCTTTTTTCCCTCTTCTATTATCCTCATTCGAGCTACCCTCACCAACCTGATAATGAGAACGTGACCAAATGCCATTGGTGCAGTGTTTTTCAACAGATGCAGGCAAATGTGAAGAGATCTTTTTTTCTGAATGTGATTTTACTTCCTTTTCGAGGTTTGGCAGTGAAGGGCTATGATGTACATCTTTAGAAACATCACTTTTCGCTCTGTGATCAGTCTTTGCACAATCATTCAAATGGGGAGATCTGGATTTAAGATCTTTTGTTTTAACTATATCTGATGTCCTTGCAATTTTATGATTATTTCGAAAATGTGGAAACTCAGACAATCTATTAAGAAAAAGAAATTAACAACAAAATACCAAAGTTATTGCTTCTTAATAATCCAAATTTTATTTTTTTACACCTATAACATCTGGTATTCCTAGGTGGTCTCCCATCCAAGTACTAACCAGGCCCAACTCTGCTTAGCGTCCGAGATCAGACAGGATCGGGCATGTTCGGGGTGGCATGGGTGTAAACTAATAATCCAAATTTTAATCATGTGTGATATACTTAAAAATTGGGGGGGCCCACATACTGGAAAAACTAATTTTACTTTGCATAAAGGCATGAGTGGTAAAGATTTACCAGCTTCCCCCTAAATAGGCCAGCTTTCATCTCTTTTCTCAAACAAAATCTAGAGGACCTCTCAGTTCTATCCCAGCACTTGCCAATGTCTTTTAGACTTCCTTCACGACAGGAGGAGAACTCCCAAGCTAACTGCAAATTTAGAACAAGTGACATTATTTTCTTGCCCTCACTCACTCTAGCCCAAATGAAATCAGAAGGTAAAGTGAAACTCTGCAGGGCAAGAGAGACAATCAGAATAGAATTCTATGTAGTTCTCTATCCTAGTTTTCTGTTTCACATGTAATAGAGTTGTGATTCTCTCCTAAATGAATGGTAAGTATTTACTGCTTTTTAAAAAATGCCTAAGTTTTAAAGTTTTACATTAGTGTTCCAGTAAACTAGCAGTTTTCCTACAAATGAAATGTATATAACTCATTATAGCTTTTCATAAGTCCATCTTCCCGAGCTTCTATAACTTCCTGAATTTCCATAAATCTGTTCCTAATCAGTACTAAATGTGGAGAATATCAAAACTTAAAAGACTCAGGAATAAGGGGGAGATTTTTATAAAACAAAAGAGGACGCAAGAGATATATAACCTAAGGCAAATTGTAGACCTTATATTGATCTTGTTTGGATGAACTGCATCCCCCAAAAATTCATTTGTTGAAGTCCTAACCCCTAGTACTTCAAAATATGACCCTATTTAAAGATACGGTCTTTACAGAGGTAATCGAGTTAAAATGAAGTCACTGGGGTTAATCCAGTATGACTAGTGTCCTCGTAAAAAAGGAAATTTGGACAAAGATATGTATAGAAGAAAGACAATATAAAGAGACAGAGGAAGAAGGCAACCATCTACAAGCCAAGGAGAGAGGCACTCTTGATATTTCAGTAATTTGCTGGGGGCCTAGAAGAACCCATAACATACACACCACTCGCTCAGAAGCAGAGTACCAGAGTAAGATCCCAGTGTATTAAAAAACTAAATATATTCAGGGTAGTATGTAGCAATATTCTATTTAATAATCATATATATATCATTATGATAATATACCATTAGTCATGTACTCATAGTAAAACCTGACATATTTAATAATGCATGATTTTCATATTTTTCCACTCAAAAGCTAAAAATATTCCACATATCAAAACCCACATAATTTATAAACAGATCCATACTCCTCATTTATACCTTTGGTGAAGATTACTTATTTCTTCATCCTTGCGGTTTATTTCCATTCTGGCAGTTTTGATAAGTGCTGAAATATTCTTCTTAAGAGACTGGTTTTCATTTTTTAAGCTGAAATTCTAAACGTCATGAAATATATTTAATAAATTACATACCCACAGTATTATTAAACTACTATTTATAATAGCTAATGATTACTGAGTGCTAAATACATACCAGGCATTACATATTTGGTCTTATATAATTCTCAAGAAAGTCTTATGAGAAATACTATTATGCTCATTGTACAGCTTCAAAAGTACTGGCACCAGGGAAAGGCCATTTAAAGCGAAACTACTCAAAACAGGAATCAAAATGAAAAATACACAAATAAGAAGAAAACAGTTCTCCCTGAGTCATTATCTTGAAAACTGAAAATACAAATTATCAAAATTTTGTTATATTTAACAACTTAGCTGTAACATGCAACAATGTACTAATTCTCAGGTGAACAAAGAAAAAATCTAGGATTGACTGGTTCTTTGGGCAAAAAAGAAAAGAAAGAGAAACAATTTTACCAAAAAATAAAAATCTGAACAAGACATGACATTCTTGATTTTTGCAGCATGACCACAACAAAAGTAACTGGCACTAATTCTGAAGGCATCACAATTTTCCCCCAACAATCACCCTAAATCTTTGCTCATCAAACCATTCTCTTTCAAACCACCGAATATCTCTATGAACTTTCTATTATTTAACTCTTAACTAGTCTAACAGATCTTCTATGTCAATGTCATTTGACAAAGCCAGCAGCTTTCCTATATCAATTTTATAGTAAATTATGCATGTTTTGTCAGATTTGCTTATAAACTACCAACACTTTAGCATTTTAATTCCTAACAAAATTTTTATTAAATTTTGATTTTAAAAGTTAATAAGACAAAAATAATATGCTTATTACAATGGTACCTGTGTCTGTATTTCTTTAAATTTTTTCATCAGCTCTTTCATTTGTAGCTGACATTTTCCATATTTTACTTGTAACTGTAAGATATAAAAAGATTAAGTATCATTCTAAATTATTTTCTTAGCTTACATAATATTTCAAAGTATTTAAATTTTGCAACTCAATCTACTAAAAAGGGTAGATGAGGTCTATTTCTGCTAACAAGTATTCAGTAAGATCACTGGTGTTTGAAGTTGGTTCTACCAATAATATATATTTTTAGTTTCACATTCAATCTCCAAACCTTAATACTCAAACAAGGTAGAAAGAAATTTACCTGACTTAAGTCTTGGGATATTTCATAACTTAATATAAATCATGAAAAGATAAAATTTTATACCACACGGATTACCAGTTGAGGTTTTATAAATTTAGACACTTAAATTTAATCAAGCAAAATTATAACTAAATTTACAAAAACATTCAGGAAATATTGTTTTAAAAAGCAGATCTGATGGCAGAAACTGACATAAGTATTCTTTTTGTCTGAGAGCTACTTTCTAAACACAGAATGTTTATTTAATAGTAAACGGATGTCTGCACTTTGGGAGCTGCGACAGAGTAAAACAACTGTCTTTAATATATCTGGCAACCCATACATCATTATATGTTGCCTCCTTTGCAGTTCCTTCTTCAGTAAGAATTTCTTCATATAAATCCAAACAATTTCTGGATGGTACACAGGATTTGGAAGGACTATCTAAAATAAACAAACAAAAAACCCTTACATTAAAATATGTATTTCCAGATTCAATGTGATACTATCAAAAATTCCAATGTCATTTTTCACAGATTACAACAAACAATCCTAAAATCTGTATGCAACCACAAAGACTGCAAATATCTAAAGCAACCCCAGATGGAAGATCAAAGCTGGAGGTATCACGATTTCTGATTTCAAACTATAACAGAAAGCTATAGAAATCAAAACTATATGTATTGGTATAAAAGCAGATATGTAGATCATTAGGACAAAACAGAGAGCCCAGAAAAAAACCCACACACATATGGACAACAAATTTATGACAAAGGAGCCAAGAATATACAACAGGGAAAGAATAGTTTCTTCAAGAAATGGCAGCCACATGAAAAACTGGACCCCTATCTTACATCATGCACAAAAATCAACTCAAAATGGATTAAAGACTTAAATAAAAGACCTGAAACCATAAAACTCCTAGGAAAAAAACACAGGAGGTAAGCTCTTGGACACTGGTCTTAGCAATGATTTCCTGGATTTGAACACAAAAAGCAAAGACAACAAAAGCAAAAATAAATAAGTGAGGCTACATCAAATTAAAAATCTTCTTCACAGCAAAGGCAACCACCAACAAAGTGAAAAGGCAACCTACAGAATGGGAGAAAATATTTGCAAATTATATACCTGATAAGGAGTTTAATATCCAAAATGCATAATGAACTCACACAACTCGACAGCAAAAATAGAACAAAACAAAAAAAATCTGATTGAAAAATGGGCAGAGGAACTGAACAGACATTTTTCCAAAGGCAAACAAATTGCCATCAGGTAAATGAAAAGGTCAGGGAAATATAAATCAAAACCATGAGATATTACCTCACATCTATTACAACAGTAATCATTAAAAAGATGAGATGACAAGATAACGAGGGTATAGAGAAAAGGGAACCCTTGTACACTACTGTTGGGAATGTAAACTGGTACAATTACTATGGAAAAGAAAAAATTAAAAACAGAACTACCATATGATCCAGCAATCCCAGTTCTGGGTATATATTCAAAGGAAATGAAAGCAGGATCTCAAAGAGATATCTGCACTCCAATGTTCACTGTGGCATTATTCACAATAGCCAAGACATGGAAACAACCTGTGTCTATCAACAGATGAATGAATAAAGATGTGTGTGTCTATGTACACGCCCACACCACAATGGAATATTATTCAGTCATGAGAAAGGACATTCTGCCATTTGTGACAATATAGATGGACCTTGAGGGCATTATCCTAAATGAAATAAGTCAGACAAAGACACATACTGTAAGATATCACTTATGCGTGGAATCTAAAAAAGCCAAATGCATAGAAACAGAGACCAGAACGGTGATTATCAGGGGCTAAAGGTGGGGAAAAAGAGGAGCTGTTGATCAAAGTACGAACTTCTAGCTACAAGATGAGTAAGTCTAGTGAGTTAATGTATAGCAGTGATTATAGTTAATAATACTGTATTACATAATTGAAAGTTGCTAAGAGAATAGATCTTAAATGTTTTCACCACAAAAACAAGATGGAATTATGTAATGTGATGCAGGTATTACATAACTCTATGGTGGCCATTATTATGCAATATATAAGTGTATCATCTCAACACATTGTACACCTTAAACTTATACAATGTTATATGTCAACTGTATCTCAATAAAGGTCGTGGGGGGGACAAGTAATGTTAAGCTTTTGCATATTGTATCTATCGCAACTTGATGGCCTATCCATTTCTCTCTATCTCCTGAATTTAACCATATCTATACTGATTTCACAGATAAGAGTTAGAAAACCAATTTACCTAAAATGCTTGTGTCAACAAATCAGGTCTGATGATCATATCTGTTCAAAGCTCTGAGAGATCTGATGATGGAAAAAGTTTCTAATTTGGATAGGTCATGAGACTCTGCATATCACACTCCTATTGATACATTTGAAAATATTTATAGTAACTACCCTTTTCAAAAGTTCCAGTATCATGTAACCTGTGATGTATAACCTGAGTATGAGTAGTAATATACTTACAGACAAGACCACCAGTTACATTTCAAAGGTCCAAAATATTTGTGCACAAGGTCCAATTAAATCTGACACCTAGATGAATAACAAACCTGAGTGCTAATTTGTTTTAATGATCAAGCTTTAGGCAAGAAAATAATTACCAAAATGTAATCATTTCAAAAAATAGGCAGATGGTTCAGGATCTATGGGTTATTCTAAAAATTAGTAACAACAAAATAAACATTTCCAATAGACTAACAAAACAAAACTATTTTATTATAGAATTTACATACCAGAAACAGCACTGTCCAACCCAGCATATATGTCCAAAGAACCTTCGTCATTATTTTTAAGAGGAGAAGCTGCAAGAAAATTAAAGACTAGTTAAAACTGACTTATTACATTTAGTGAAATTTTCCCATTGCTGCTGTAAAGGACCAGGAAAAGAGACTTTATTGTTCTTAAACCCAAAAAAGAGAATTATTTAGAAGTTTTATACAGTCTTATAAACAGGATGATCTTAGCAAACAGATTTATGACTCTTATTACCTCAGATTTAGATTTAAAAGCTTACTTTCAAAACATACTAGTGAGAAAATCTCCAATTCCAAAAATAGCATAGTGTCTATTAAACTAATCCTCCTGCAAATAACTATAAACCCGAAACATTAAAAATTATCTGCAGTCAAATGCTCTACCACTAGACTTACTATGGTGATTACTTTGCAATATATACAAATATCAAATCATTACAGTGTATACCTGAAACTTACATAATGTTTTATGTAAATTATACCTCAAAAAAAAAAAAAAAAATCTACCTGAAGAACTAGAGAGCAACCCAAAGCAGGAAACAACTAGAGGGGAGACAACATTTGAAAGAAGAAAACAGCACTGTGTCAGTTCCCTATCCCCTTTTTATTATAATTTTTTTGTGGAAGGATAGGCCCTACACCTAGTTGGAGCCACACTGGGCAGTGAAAACTCAGATGGAAACCTCTAGTCCTAATAGCTTGAAGAACTAGAGAAAAAACTTTGGGAGTGATAACAGCAACTAAAAAGTAAGAGAAGAAATCCAGAGAGCCACAGAGGGGATTCCCCAAATTGTGTCCAAATCTCTGAATGACCCCTAAACAACACTGGTAAAAGTTAGAACTGCAAAAAGTCCAGCTAAAGCTAAAAAATCTGAACAGAGATTTCAGCTGCTATCCACCACAAAGAAGACAGAAGTTTAAGTTCAGCCAAGTTAAATCCATGCTAAAATTAAAACAGCAACAATCTTCAGAGGAATTTAACAGAATTTCAATGTCTCTATAACATAACATTTTACAATAGACAAAATTACTGCATAGGAAATCTTGGTAGAGAAAAAGAAACAAAAGAACCAAATGAACATCCTAAAACTGAAAATTATAATACCTAATGTAAAAAAATTCACTAAGTGTACTTGACAGAAGAGCCAGTGAACTTGTAGATCAATAAAAACTACCCAAGTTGAAGAACAGAGAGAAAATAATTTAAAAGAAAAAAAAAAAGTCTTAGTAACCCACAGGACAATATCAAAAGTTTTCACATACTATACATCAGGATTATCAGGAGAGAGTGGGGAAGAAAATGATAATTGGAAGGATACTAGAAGGATGAGAAATGGTAATTAGTAAATATAAAAATTATTTTTTCTCTTAATTTCTTTTAATTCCTCTTAATTTCCTTAAGATACATAGAACAATTTAAAATAAAAATTACAGCACTGTATTGTCGGGTTTATGACATCGTTAACATAAGGAAATGGATGGAGGTTAAACACAACTATATGTACAAGACTGTATCTTTACATGAACAAGTGTACGATACTACTAAGTAGAACACAAAATGTTAAAGATGTATATTGCAAATCCCTGAGCAACTACTAAAAATCATGTAGTGGTACAGCTAAAAAGCTAATAGTATAAATTAGAATGGAATTCTAAAATATATTCAAATAATATTTAAAAGAAGCAAGAAAATCAAAAAGAAAGAGACAAACTAAAATATTAAAATAATAGATATAAATTCAATCACAATAATTGGACATTACTGAGTTAACTGACAAATTGAAATAAAAATGGCAGATTAAGTGTCGTCTCAGTGTTAAATTTACTGAAATTGATATTATATTGTTATGTAAGAAAATTAACTTTTTCTTAGAAAATATACACTGGAGTATGTGGGGTAAAGGACTATAATGTATGCAACTTACTCTCAAATGGGTCAGGAAAAAAATTGTGTGTGTATATGTGTACGTGTGTGTATTTAAAAAGAGAGTACGTACACAAAAATTAAGCCACTGGCATAAAATATTAACGAGAGGTAAATTTGGAAACTAGGTAAAGGATTCATTGTATATTCTTATTCTTAAAACTTTTCTGTAAGTTTGAAATTATTTCCAAACAAATATAGTAAAACACGATTATGGAAATATTATAGGAATAAAATTTTTCATAAAATCATGTGAAGTGGTAAGAAGTAAAATGTACCATAAAATATACACTGTAGCTCTAACTATTGAAAAAATGTATGTATGTAGACAGGAAGCTGGGAGAAAGCAATATGTATAAATGAAAACAGCTATTCCCAGCAAATGAGATTAACAATGCAGTTTTGTTCTTCAAAATAATAAAAGTTGCAGATGTGATAAAAGTTAACTGTTTATGAATCTAGGTGAAAAGTAAATGTGTTCATTATTTTATACTTTCAATTTTTCTGTTGGTTTAAAATATTTCAAAGGAAAAATATCATAAGAGAAATACACAGCAGCATAACAATTCGAAACTACATCAGCAAAAATAATTAAATAATACTAAAAAGCAAATAATTATTACCCGGAGTGGTTATGTTGGCCATATTTTATGTGAATCCTTCCATATCTATAAATATTAATTTTTGAAAATATATATTTAAGTAAAAATGAAATTCCACTAGATATGTTTTACAACTGCCCTTCTCATTCTATAGCATAGGAATCATAATTCTAGTCAATAAATATCCATTTATAATCTTGAAAAATTTAATGAGGTTGTCAGAGCATAATTACAATTAAGACAAAAGTGAGTAAATGTTACAGCAATATTTGAAAGTTTATAGTCTGCATATTATTTAAAATATCGCTATGAGCTTATTTTACTATGAGGTCTTGGTTATCTTTTTCAAACTAATCATCTACTATGACTGTCGATTTTCCCCTGAAAAACAATAAACAAGCACCGTTGTATTTACTGGAAGTATTAACTTCAAGAATAACAAATACCTATCATATTTTTTTGGATATGACAGTAAAGAACATTACAACTTACACTAGCAAAGTTGCTAATTTCATTACATTCGAGAGGCTTGAAAGCATACAATAACATTCATATTTACTAGACACTTGCTATTTGCCAGGCACTTCATTGTATTAATTCATTTATGTGAAATAGTTGAATTTCACACTATTTATGTGAAATAGAAAAAGTTGATAACGATAGTGTATTCAACAAGAATAAGTAAACAATTTTGTAATTAAATAAACTGAGAAAGACAATTAAAATGTGCTCTTACCAGAAAAGGCATCAAATAAACTTGTTCCATCACCATTGTCATCATCTGCTGCCATGATCCTATTTCCTCTTGATAGTTGCCATCTAAAGTATTAAATATAAAAATTTGCCACTGTTAAAAATCAAATTCACAATTCAAAGAGTAAACCTAGCTTTAAGTTAAAATGCAACTTTCAAATTTAGACACACCGAATAAGTTCACTCTATCATGATTACAAAAAAAAAAAAAAAGCCTAACATTTTCTAAAAGCTAAAATTATAAAACAAAAATCTTAAATCTGCTGATATGGTTAAGCATTGTCACAAGGTAAATGATGCTAATTTTATAAAATAGACTAAAATACAAATTAACATTTATACTAAAATAAGCCAACTATCATACCAAATAAATACAACTATATGCTGAGTTCTGTGAATCCTCTTAGCAAATCATCAAATCTGGAGGTGGTCTTGGGGACTCCAGACATATGTATACTTCACCAATAAGATATTAAGATAGGCAAACAGTAAAGAGTTTGATACTATACTAGGTTGATAACGTGTGGTAAAACAGGTACTCTCATACATCACTAAAGTATATACTGGTATAAGCTCTATGGAGGCAATATGGTAATAGTTATTAAAATTTTAAATGCAAATACTCTTTAACCCAGCAATTTCATATCTAGTAATTTGTTCTACAGATATACAAGCACGTGGCTACAAAAATGTATGTACAGAAATATTCAACACAGTGCTGTTTGTAGTGGCAAGACAGGAAGCAAAGTAAGAATACAAAACAGTAAAAAAAAAAAAAATTGACTTATCTGACATGCACTAACATCTGACATTCTCTGTTCTGCCAGTTAAACTTGATTACCACCAACAGAGACATATGCTTACCAACTGCCAGGTGCATTTATTACCAAATCGAATTATGCATTTTCCTTTATTTTTCTAAGTAATAGTATGATGAAAGATTAGATTACCAAAAGGGAGTTATTTTCCAGTGAAAACTAAGCTGAATGCTTTGAAAAAACTCAAAGGTGAGTAGCAATACACACAATTGCTTGTCAAATCAAGTAAGGGTGAGATAACCTAAAACACCCAAAGAGAAAATCTAGTCTACACTCAGATTGATTCACAAGTATCTTAGTTCTTAGTCCATTTTAATGAAAAAAGTGCTGGATATCATAAACAATGCCTTATGGGTATGGCTCACGCAAGACAGAAGTCAGAACTCTAACCACCAGATTCACACTCAAAGAAAAGGTCACGGTTACCCATAGGAGGTACAATTTATGTTACTCTCTTAACTAAAATTAAGGTATATAACTTTCTTCATTCCCCACATTCCCCATTCCAACATTTTTTCCAATTAGCTGATTTAATTAACTGTTATAATATAGCCTGTATGATAATTACAGAAGGTACAAATGGCATAAACACATCTGGCAAATATCACGACTGACTCTAGGTAAAAGAACTCAACCAGTAGAGCAGAAATTCACAGGTTTCCAATAGTAATAATCTACTATCAGTTGTAAACTGTCATACAGAGCGGGGAGCATCAGTCAGCGGGCTTTTTACAGAATGGAGATCAGTTAGTCTAATGATCTGGTTATACAGAGGTCGAATATATCAAAATTTTCATTGTATATTATTTCACACAGTTTTAGTTTTTACTACTGGCAGGTATTAAAAAAAAAGATTCTACTTGCTCTAGTAAGTTAAAACTGGGAAAAAAATACAAGAGAGCTGACAAATCTTGGATCTTTTGTCCCTCATTTGTCTTAAATGTTTCTCCAATTGCTCCAAGGACCATGTCTCTACTCCTTAATCTCTACGCCCCGCACCAGTGAAGCTGTTTTTTTTTTTTAATTACTTATAAATTTAAGAGAAAGTGACTGTTCATTTCTTAATCACATCATATGTTGCATTAAGAGTTCTTCAAAATTATTTCGGACAATAGTATATATAGTAATATAAAGAAGTCATAAACGATGTTTGTTATACAGGTCGTTTCTCACTATGTACACATAACAAGTTAAAGGAACTGTGGCAATTATGCTTCTCCATTCTAAATCCACTCTGCTGTGATAATGGAGGTGGACATTCAATATCGTTCTCCTTTGCTAACTGGCACAATGTTAAGCCTTGTGAGTAGAGAGTGTGCTGGAAGGACACTGGAAAAGGTTTCTCTTTCTAGTTTCAGTGTGCCTGGCTAGCTAGGCCTCTGCAGAGCATGCTTTTCTTCAGCATTCTGTTCCTGCAGCAGATGCAGTTTCTCCAGCACTAGGTTCCTGCAGGGCACAAGTTTTCCACATGCCTGCCTCTTACAAGTGAAGCTGCAATGGGCACAGCAGGACATAGCTTTCTCCTGCTAGGCTCAGGGAGAGGGCAGGTTCTCCAAATCTTAGATATCACAGCACTTGACAGCCAGTAGCATCCAGGAGCTTTCCAACACACCTCCTCTGCTAGATACAGAGCAGTGTCACCAGCAAGGTACTTAGCTACCTGTAGCCCAGCCATACTCTTTCCAATGAAAAAGTAGCTCTTCTTTGGATGATCTATCTCAACCCTAGAAGTAGTGGCTACTCCCCTAATCTGCTATTCCTATATATTTTAGAGTTATCTTTAAGTACCTACTAACCAATTCCCAGTTACTCCCTCTGTTAATAATTCTTTATACTAAGCTTTATCTTTTCAAATTACTGTCTGGTTTTTCTGTCCTGACTGCACTCTGTCTGATGCAGGTAAATAGTCACAATAGAGATTTTAACAAACTTCTCTGCTGTTAAAGCAGTTAAAGAAATTTAAAGATATAGCTCTGAACACAAAATTGACAGGCTTAATCTGATGACTTTATATTCCTGCAAGCAACAATTAAGAGAACTTATTTTACTTTCAAGCATTTATAAAAACTGATTAAATATCATGATAATGCAAGTTTCAATATCACAGAAGTGCTTTTATCAAGACCAATAAAATTCAAAGTTAACAATGCACTTTCAAGCTTCCCAATTCATTTAGAAATTTATAAACATAAGTCAAAGAATAAATATGAATGGAAACTGGGGAACATACAGAACTAAGTAACAATGAATAGACCACATAACAAAACTTACGAAATACAACTGAAAAAGTCTTTTCAGAAGAAAAGTTATAGCATTAAATAAATATGTAAGAAAAGATATAATTTTAATGAGGTCATCATCCAACTCAAGAAGTTAGAAAAAGGTCCAAATTTTATTCTATAACTAAAAAAACAAAGTTAGAAAAAGAACTAAGTAAATCTAAAGAAACACATAAAGAATAAATTAATAAAAAGAAACAAACACTAGAAAGATGAATAAAAATAAATGCTGGCGCTTTAAAAGACAAATAGTCATATGCCTGGCAAAACTAATCAAGAAGGAAGACACAAACATTAGAAATAAAAAAGGAGTGACAGTTTCACATACAGTAGAGATTAAGTTACTAACGAAGCTCAATGAAAAGAACATTTTAGAAAAATGTAACTGGCCAAAACTGACTTAAGAAGAAATTGAAAACATGGACATATATAGGATGACTAAATAACGATATAGTAGTGATTCTACTCATAAAGAAACTAAACCCAGACAGTTTTACAGGTGAATTCTATCATACCTTCAAAGAACAAATAAAACATATATTCTATTCCAAACAAAATGGGGGTAGGGGGTGCAGGATTAAGATACAGATAATTTTATGTGGTTAGTACAGTCTAGACATCAATACTGGGCAAAGATAAGATAAAATAGGAAAATTACAAGTCAGGAACACTATAGGTCAATCTTTCTTATGAACATAGAAATAGCCTTTAAAAAATTAGCCAATTGCGCCCAGCAAGACATTTAACAAAAACAAAATACACTACAAAGTGAGGTCTATCCCCAAAAGGTAAGGATAGTATAACTAAAAAATCAATTAGTATAAAATAAGCACTGTTCTCTAGTTGATAAAGTTGCTTCCCAGTGGGTATGGGTTAACAGGTCTGCTACTGTCATACATGTGTATTGGAATTGAACAAATTAAGTAAATGGATAGCAGATGGTGGGAGCCAGGTTTCTCATTATTGAAGTGAGAAATTACAGAAAAGCAAGAGAACAGGCTAGAATGATCCCTGTGGTAATGAATTAGAGTTGAAGACATAGTAAAAACTCACATTTAATTTAATATACAGATGATTAGATACAGAAATATTTATAGGTGCATGTATACATATATGGGTTAGTAGACACACATATTTCTTTGCGCTATCAATTAAGGGAGCCTAAAAAACAAAATTCCAATATCAATAAGCACATCTAGTATCCACATCTTAGCTTCTAATACTACTCTCCATTAAAATGGACTGAGGCTCCTTGAAGAAATGGCTGATTCTAAGACAGGGACAGGAAATACACAAGATGATGTGAAGCATCTTTATAGTGCAAGAAAGTAAGGAAGTGTCAAAAGAAAAATTGATAGAGGTATGTCAATGAAGCACTGGAACCAACTGAAAGAGCTCCCAATAGCCAAAGCTGGAACAATTTGAGCAAGATATTAAAGTAGTAACGAATTATGACACATATAAAAAATACATATCATTCCACAGAGATAAGTAAATTAGCAAATGGAGAAAAGATAATTCCAAATAAATTATGTAGATACTCCACTCTAAAGCAGGAAAGGCATAATTTCCCACTCCACAAATGTGGGCTGTGCATAGTGACTTCCTTCCAAAGAAGAGAGTATGGAATGGGGAAAAACGGATAACTTTATGATAAAGAAACCTGACAAACACTACTTCAGTCAGATGATCAAGTTTATATCAACAGCCATAAATCATGTTGATAGTATATACTCTTGATATGTAATGAAAACAGCACTTTACCCATGATCTTCCCCAAAACCCATAAAACCTCAGTCTATTCATGAGATAAACATCACAAAATCTAATAGAGGGGTATCCCTACAATATACCTGACTAGTACTTTTCAAAACGGTCAAGGACATCAAAGACAAGGATTTGAGAAACTGTCACAGTCGAAAGGAGCCTAAGAAGACATGACAACTAATTGTAACATGGTGTTCTGGAA